AGTCAGAGAGTCCTCCTGCTTTTAGGAGTTCTGTGGCTTGTGTTTGCTCCCCCTGTTCTCTCCTTCCACCCATATGACTGACTTTGCCAGTGACTCATCACTCACATTGACTCTTTGCCTCTTCATTTTCTCTCATAGGCCAGGGAAGGAGAAGTAGCCATTATAGATAAAGTTCTGGATAATCCAGATTTGACATCTAAAGACTTTCAAGAATGGAAGCAAATGTACCTTGATCTCTTCATGGACATCTATCAAAGCAGCACCCCGAGGGACTCTGTTAATGGCTTGTCTGAGGTTGATGCACTTATAGCCTCCTTAGCACACACTCACTCTTACATTGAAACGCATGTATAAAGCTCTCTCTTTTTGTCCATTTGTTATATTCCGACCATTTACTTAAGTGCACAAAGTACTTTTTTATATCAATATGTGAGAGCTCTAGTAAATTATATTTTAATGTTAATCAGCTGTGTGAAGTAAACCTTCAATGGTCAACGATACCACGTCTTTAATGAGGATTTGTATATTTTATATGCTACCAGCGCTCTGCTTGTGTTTACCTTCTGTGAAATAGCCAACACGATCTTTAGCTATTAAGGAAAAGTATTTAAAAGCATTTTTGGAAGACTGTGGCCTTCATGCAGGAAGTTCCACAAGCTAAAGATTTTGTTATCAAAGGTGACTTTTACAATGATATTTTATATTCTATAAATCGAGTATTGCATTGCATTTTTGGAGTGCAGGTACTATTTTGGTGGTGGAAGAAAACCAATTTTTATATTTAATGAGAAACTCTAGGAGTTTTCCTAAATAACAGGGAAAAAGTGTAACAGGATGGTTGTGTTTCAGTTTTGTCAAACACATAAAAGGGTGAAAATCAGCAGACAGAAATGACTAATGTGAATTTAAGTATCAAAATGTTAGGTCTTATTTCCTTGTGCTTTTCTTAAGGCCTGTTGCTAGGGTTTACCATCAGTGCAAAGAGATGCTGGTTTGTATTCTAATTAAGACCAAATTATGTGTTATTTGTCTCTTAATCACATTTGGTTGATTTTTTTAAAAATTAGTCATGATACTGTCATTTATGCTGCTTTTGTACTGAAGATATCAGTATAATGTGCAGATTTTGCAAAAGAGAAAATGTAGACTTTGAACATCCTTTCTCTTGCCCAGAAAAGCAGCAGTGGAAAAGGTTCCCAATGAAATTCTCCAAATCTGAGAGGTTTGAAAATTCCCACAATAGAAAAGGAATGAATAGGATTTTTCAAGTAGTCTCCTATGTGTTTTCTGAGCTGTGAAACTTGTCTGTATTGTATGCAGGAAAAACATGTGATGGGAGCAGAGCTGAGCACAGAACCTGAACAATAACTGAGGAGCAAAAAAGCCTCTGGTTTGCTTTTGAAGGGGAAGGGATGTCTCTGGGTCCTGCCAAGTTTACAAGCCAATTAAAATGTTTTAAGCTTCCATTAGATTTGAGATGTGCTGGAGGCAGCCCAGTGAATATGAGTAGAAATAGCTCCTTAGAGTTAGGCACATGCCTGGGATCAGAAAGTGGGAGGGAAATCTTAAATCTCGTATTTACTTTTTATGAGCTTGTTTTTGAAAAGTGATCAGAGCATGACAAAATATTTCTGCTGCTTTTCAGTATTTTGCTGCATAAGTTAGGATTCACAACATGATTTAATAATGCTCATGTGAAAGGGAAAAGCCTCCTTTATACTTTTTACAGCAAGTTATACTCTTAACCAACTTTAGACTATTGCCTGTACAGCTCAGTGAATGTACTTTAAACTTTATGAGCTCTGATATTTCCTGGCAATTATATCCATGAAGGGATGAAGGAAAGAATAGACAGATTTATTTTCTCTCTCCTTCTTTCTTTTTATTCCTCTGTCTCTGTCACCCTCTTTTTCTCTCTCTCTTTTCTCTCTTTTGTTTTTTCTTTCTTTTTCTCTTTCTCCCCCTCTCTCTCTCTTTCTTTTTATTTTATTGCATTTGGATTGAAAATGTTTTGCAGATTTTGCACAATTGTACAGAAGAGTGGCCTTTCTGTAGCCCATTTTCAATAACCCTATATTCAAGTCAATATAGATGACAAATCATGTGTTAATGTTTGTATAGAATTCTGGATACAGTGTAATATTTGTAAGATTAGAAGAATATTGTTTGTATAAACCGGACATTTATTTACTGCATGGGTACTGACTTGTATATTAAATTTGTGATTTTTTTTTTAAATTTCTCTTAAAAAATGCTTGACTTGAAATGGATTGTGCTATTGTTCCAAGCATTTAGATTCTCTTGCTATTGTTTTACTGGACCAAAAGTAAATATATTCATATAAAAACCTCTTTATATCTGATGGATGTATATGCACATTGTGTAGTTGATTCCTTGTCAAAACCAAGGCAGTTCAGAAGACTTAGATCTGTTGCTATGCAACAGCTATTCTGCCTGCACTTTACATTAGTAAAGTCAGCTTGATTGCTTTAAAGGTGAAAATTAAACATTACAGTTTTTTAAGCTAGTCTAGTGACAAAGAACATGTGTCCTCTCCATTGTGCTGCCTTCTTCTTTTAAGACTATTAAATGTTCTTCTCTATATATTTTTATTGTATTAACTCTCAGCCTAGAAAGGGAACATTGTAAAATGAAGTACAATAAATTTAGCTTTTAAATGAACATTTTTGACTTGAGATTCAGTTTATTCCATACCAAAGTGATTCTGCAGCATCTGACCATTTAACCTGCATTTCACAGATCCATCTACCTTAACATATCTCCATATTCTGTGCCTTCAAACTCTGCCAACGTGGCCAAAAATAAGTATGACTATTGCTCTTTTGGGTGTAGGCGGATGCTGAATAAAGACTTCTGAAAACCTTCATTTACCTCCCTTCCCTTCATACTCTTTGGTGAAAGTAAACCTTTTTTAACTGCAGGATTCTCTTGTGTACTAGTACAACAGGCATGAACAATTGTACCATTGTGAGCAGGTACGATAAAGCAGCATATGCTGACAAGGTAAGTGTCAAGGCATGAGTTACAGCAACTCCTGTAACATGGTTCTTAGAGTCGAACAATAAGTATATCCGCTCAGCTCTGGCCATCTAAACTAACATGAGGTGTGGATACAAAAGAAATGTACTGCACCAGTAGTGTGCATCTTTAAAATAACGCCAAAGAAGCATCTGAAAGGCTACAACAAAGGCTGCTCTGAGAGAAGTGGCTTCTATCAAACAGTCACTGGTTTAGCTTATGGCCATAACTGAGTCTACGTATCAAGAAATCCATGCTTTCTGTCCAGTAATTTCATGCTGGTTAGCCAAGGCATTCTTGCCCGGTATGTATCATATCAAATAATACCTTTTCCTTGGCAGTACTTGTTATTAGTTCTCATCGGCATCAATTTTCTACTCTGCACAGCTCACTTTCATTTTGCTTAGCCATAGCATAAAAATTCAATAGCACTTACCAGCTGGGAAAATTACCTCTGATTAAGAAAACAGAAAAGATGGATTATATTTTTTAACCTTTGAGAAATCTGATTTGTAACACCTATTGCTATCTAGGTATTACTCTTCAAAAGTCAAGGATTACGATTCTCACTCATCGCCTCGAGATGTGCTACTTGCTATGTCCTTCCCCGGTGAGATTGGCTTCCAGCTCTATAAATCCCAGCACCTTTGCCCATGCCAGAGCCAGATTTTCTTGCCTGTTTCCACCAAGCATTTGGCTTATCAAAGCAAAACCTCTGCTCTGTCACATTCAGTGTGACTGCAATTTTCTTCTTCTCCAGGACTGCCTTGCTGGCTCATCCCCTGGGTGATTATTCTGCAGTGTGTGAGCTCAGCAGTTCGGTGGCCTCTTCTGCTGGTTGTTGCTGTCCTGCTCATCAGCCAGCTCGGAGAGCTGCAGCACCGCACACTGCAGCCCACACCAAGGCAAGGGGGTTTTGCAGATCTCTTCCCAGCCATCATTGTCGATGTCGTAGCCAACCACGTCCTGTGTGGGGACTTCCCGTGAGTTTTGCCATTTCTTTCCCCCGATAAGAAGAGCCGTTTCCTCTACCACTGCCAGGCCATAGCAAAATCGGTCATAGATCAGTGGTCTTAACCGAGTCCATTGGTTTTGATCAGGGTCATATCTTTCTATTTCAGAGAATGGTTCATATAATCCTAAAAAGGTGAATATGGCTTCTCGGATTGTTGCCATCTGATGCCCAAACCGAGCAATGCTCATGGGGGCTTGTTTCATCCACTGCCCTTCAAGCGAGCTCAGAGAATATACGTCCTTGCTTGTGCTGGCTGCATCTGAGTACTTGCCACCTGAAATGTATATAGTGTTCTTGCAAATGGCACTGGCATGGCCATGTATCTTGCATGGCAATTCCCTGGCCTTCGTCCACCTGTCCCTACTGATGTTGTAGACTTCCACAGATGAATGCAATGACCCGTCCTTGCCCCTTCCACCAATAGCAAAGATATTCTTGCCTAGGACACAACAAGAAAACTGGCATCTCTTTTCCAGCATGCCCGTGATCTGGGTCCACATGTTGAATCTCGGATCATAACGATGGACCTTGTTCGTAACTGATAAGATCTTTTCAGTTTTAGTGTCACCTGGGGCATGACTTTCTATTTCCCCACCAAGGACGTAGAGGAAGTTCCCCACCACACATACACTGTGGTTCTGCACCCTGTCCCGCACCTGCGTGAGGGCTCGCCACTTGTGATTGTAAACATCGAAGGCCACCACATCGGTGACAAGTCCCTCACTTTCTGTCGCTCCCCCCAGCAGAATGATCCGAGTTTTCTGGTTCCTCAGAGTGGTGGACTTGTCCTGCAGAATAGGTTGCTTGAAAACAGATGTATGGTAATTAATTGCTTTAATGATCAAGCACTTAATACCTGCAGAGAGGGGCACTTCTGACTGTGTGTAGGTTTTTCTCAGCTCTTCCACTGGGATGAGGCCATATCTTATGTGCTCCAAAAGGCTGCTTGCATGAGCCAGCCTGGATTTATCCTGCTTCAGCCACAGCAGCACAAGATTCAGCAGACGGGTTTCTTTCACCATGGGGAGATCTGGTGATTCAACCACTGCTAGCAAAGACCTGAAGTTCAGCTCAAGCAGTCCTGACAAATCCAAGTCCAGCAGTTTCCAGAGATTACCAACAATGTATTTTTCTGTTGCTGCTAAGGCATTTGGCAGGTAGAACTTCCTGGCCACGTTTGCGGAGAAGCAGCAGTTTTCCAGGGCAAGGTTGTTAACTAAATACTGATTGCACAAGCCAATGGCATCAGTCACTTGCAAGTAGCTTGCAGCTTCCAAGGTATCTTCAAGGCTTTCAAAGGAAAGGGGCAACAAGGAAGTGTAAATGAAATCCAGGATGTGCTGGAGACCGGTGGGTGAGACAACTTGCAGCTGAATTACACTAGCTTTAGACTCTTGGGTATAACTTTTGAACATGGCTCGGAAATAGTCGCTGGAGCATGCCAACAAGGACTTGTGTGCAGGAAACTCATTTTCCTTGACTTTCAGCAAAATATCACACAGAAAGCCCTCTGTTCTCAGGGTCTGGTACTGGGTGAGCACAGCGGTGCAGTGCGCTTTGCAGTAGGACAGGAAATAGCTCATGGTAGGCAATGCAATGCTTTCCCCTTGAGTTATTGAAGCTAAAATGCAATTAGATATTGAAACAGCTGCCCTACTCAACAGTCATTGCTTGAATGCCCAGCAGACCTCCAGCTGTTAGAGAAAAGCCCAATCAAAAAAAACCCCAAACCCAAAAAAACCCCAAAAAACAAACCAGTCTCTTGCTTGGCGTGGGGGGGGGACAGTTAGTAGATTTGTAGTTAATTCAATGCATTCCTTTATAGAAAAAACAGCTGAATGTCCTAACAGCTGTAGGATGCTTACTTTTCTCTCCTCTGTGGCTTGTGCAATGATGAATGGTCCATGGTTGTGCCGAGCACTTGCTTGGCTGGCCATCAGGTGACAGATGAGGGAGCTAGATGACAATCTCAACAAATGACACTTTGTGTCTGCTCAGCCGTCGCCTCCGACCCTTCTTGCTCCGCAAGCAGATCAAATAAATCCTCTCTGGCTGCCAGCGCATGGCTCTGAGCAGACACGGATGAGAAGGAAGCGCTGGCTTTTCTTCTCTCTTGTTTGTATTTCAAACTCAGATTAGTTTAGACCTCACCATCCCTGGGACAGCAGCCCCCTTCTCGTCCTCTTTTCGCGCTCTCTTAGGAAGTCTCTGCTGAAGATCAAATCAGTTCCCAGGGATTATTACATGAAGATTTTCTAAGCCCATAAATCTTTGCCCGGCAGGCACTAAGACAACCGAAATATCATGATTAGTCACTGGTTGGATTTGACATGCATTTCTGGGCTCTTTGCTTCACTCCCCATGCCCCCGCCATAACTCACAGCTACCAGAATAGCCGCAGGCACATCCCCTCGTCCCCCCTGCCCGGGAGCCGACCCCCCAGGCGGGCGAGCAGAGGGGCCCGGGACCGGGTGGACGGAGGAGCTTCCACCAACAGCCAAAGCAGCTGACTTGGAATGACCTGGCTGGAAATCACAAGGGTAACACATTCGCACAAAATGGTGACAAAAATAGATTCCCCCAGTCAGCCTTAATAAACCAAAATCTGTTTATAGAGGAGGCTTTTCATAATTGTGCTCTCAGTTACCAGCTGGGAACAAACCCGGAGTCCCTGGGGGTGGGCTGGAGCTCACCCACTCATCTTTCTCACTTTCAGTTTGTCCCAATTAGAAGCACGTATATGGGGATTATCCCTGATTTTCACCCGGGCCCTTCAGGGTCTAATTTCTACCAGGAATAGTAGCTCTGGGAGGGCTACACGTTCTGACCTCTTAAAGCTTGCTTTTATTTTGCTTTTTTTTTTTCCCCCTGCATAATTCTGGGTGGAGTTGTTCAGGAATTTCCTCCTGACACCTTTCTTTTCAGGTCAAACATCCTCAGGACTTGCAAATCTTGACAGGGTTGATAAATACCAGACCATTTTGCTGCATCATGAGCCAGCAGACTTGGGGAAAAGGAGGATCCCTCAGGACTGAAAAAATTCACCTTTTGCTCAAACCAAAGGTAAAGGCTTTTTACTGTATTTGTTTATAATTTTTTATGTGATACCATGAAATTCTGTCTCACTTCTGTAATCGAGGGGTAGCTGGGAGCTGACTGGATCCTAATGTGGATTGTGCATGCCGTGCAACTGCTTTAGTTACCCTAAACTGTCAGGAGGAACTCCAAAAACGTTGTTCTTCATTGCTGTATTGCTCTGAAAATTTATTTACTGCTTGAATCCACTTTCCATCATGACATTATAGACCATAAATCAGGATCTTGCTAAAAAACCTTACCCCTTGCTAGCAAAATGACATGTATGAGCAGCGGGGATGAAGGAGGAAAGGGATGCCTTGGTTCTCTTTGCCAGTGGCTTTGCCTGTGTCCATGCTGGGACAACACTAAAGTATTTCAGGTGTTGTTAGCAAAGCTGTGCAGTTGAGTCCAAGCTTCTGGTTTGATGATTTTTCTGGTTTTGGACATACCAGAGACTAGGTACCTCTTTCACCCCTTAGAAATCATACATATTGGTGATAAGGGATCAGGCCTTAAATGCTCTCACTCCTAAAGATACTGCTTTCCCCAGTTTAACCCCATAAGGTACCAGCTTTCAATAATACGTGGTGCAGAGAAACTTTCACTGTTTCAAAACAGCAAGCTGGCACTGCATTTTCCCCAGGAGACTGAGCAGGGGAGCATGGGGGCCGCACCTTCAGCACAGTTTTGAATTTGGGCAGCATTTCTGCAGCAGTTCTGGCATAAGCAAATCCTGGCACCACACCCTCTTTGCCAACAGTCCTTGTCCTCCATCAGCCCTTCACATGTGCTGCCACAATTGTTCTGAGTCTGCAGGCTGGGAGGTGACACAACCAGAACCGATGCTCAGAGAGGAGTGGGAGGAAACTCAAAAATACAACAGCAGAGAAGTCTCTGCAGCCCAGATCAGGTCCTCAGCCTCCCTCACTGTGTGGCCTCCCAAGCAGATGTAGTGCCCCAATGCAGAGCACAGCAGAGGCAAGCCACTGGCTGCGGAAGCAGCTGAGGACCCACTGCTGGGAGAGATACTTGGCACACAACACCCACCCAATGCACAGAAACTGGACTGGTCTTCTGTCGCTGACCCATGGCCAATGCTGGTGAAGTGCTTCATGCATGATGGTAAGCCATACATAGAAGCTGGGACTGAGGACACATAATAAATTAAATCCTACTTTCCCTGGATCCAGGCGTACCAGAAGGGTGTCAGAGATGTAACCTGGGCAATTCTGGTATTGCCAAGAGCAGCCAAAACACTCTTGCTCCCCTCATCAAATACTGCACTCCCAGGCAAAGGGAACATGCCCTTTCCTCTCCCTCAGCAAGGACAGGCCAGACACTGCCCAGGCTTGCACCAGTTTTGCTGGCACATGTGAAGTACCAGCACAGCACCAACCGCAAGCACGGTAGCTTCAGACAGAGCAGGTGAGGCTCTGGCTGAACGTCTATGCCTGTGCCCAGAGCGATGCTGGTTGTGCATCACTTGCTCTCCAAACCAATTCTGTGCATGGACTTGCAGTTTATGCAGGTCAGTTGTGAGCTGATCACACTGCGTTGCCACAGGAGCCGGTGCTGATTTAACTGAACTGATTTAATATCAGTGCCGGATAAGCAGGTCCTATAATTGTATGCAGATTTGCTGTGTGATTCCATCTCAGACCTACTTCATCTTCATGGCAAGCCAACTAATAGAAATAGTAAGAAACATGATTCTTATAAAGCTGTTTATTTGTCCAGAGATTTTTTTCCTGTCACTTATAATTGAAATAAAGCCAAATCTTTTCCAGTCCCTTGCTCTGGAGTGACAAAAAAAGATTATCATTATCGGAATTAGGTTTCTCCCTGCTCTGCTTTTCGGCAGTTAGCTTTGTTTAACTAGGGAGCCTACTCAGCCAGTACCCTCCTTTGTCAACAGACAAATTATCTCCAGACAGCAGCTCGGGTGTTTGGCACCTTTGGAGGAATATTTAAAGTCCATTAACAAGAGAGCAGGCCGTGACTAAACAGCTGACTTATGAATCTCAGGAACAGACCTAGCACTAGGTGGGGTACACTCAAGCCATGATCTTATTTTTCTCAGCTGTAATTTGGAAGATCGGGTCTAATGTTTGACTAGATGGTGCTTAAAATTAGGGAAACATTAGTGTTTCAATGATAAATGATTTGCTGGGAATAGATAGTACATTTTTAACCATGTGCATCATTTAGACTTTAAATTAGATTTAGATTTCAGCCTTTTAGCATATTTGCTGTTGAAATAATTCTATGCTACAGTAGAGAGACTGCAATTAAAAAGAATATTCAGAGATGTGCTGGGAAAAATGTTAGCTTCCACAATTGCAGTTATTTTTTTTCCCTATACAAAGCTGAAAAATGCCCTGAATTGCAATGTCATGTTCAGTTTAATCTTGCAAGTAGGCCATCAGTTTGTAAACACTTCCATTACCATTGTAAATTTTCCCAATTATTTTTTAAGAGTAAAGGTTATAAAAAGAGTTGTACAAGTAAAATTAGGTTCATTAATAGCAAGTGGCTTACTGAGAAATATTCATTACAAAAATCCACAGTGGAGGATTTCTAAGCTACACTTTGTTCCTGAATAAATCAGTGCAGTCCAGAGGACAACAGAGCAAACGCTTCAGATGCTTGATAACGAACTGCATGAACAAATATAGCCAAAGTGAGCCAAACATTGGATGTCATAGGCAGGATGTAGCATACAGGTTTTCTAGAAACTACTAATCAGAAAAATCATATTTATTTAAGTTATCTTGTAAAAATCATTGGGCTAGTACTTCATCCTCGAATAATAATTCACAAGAGTAATTGGATCACCCCATCTGTTTAAAGCAAAGGATGTTTAGCCCAGCAAAGCGGTCTTTAAGAATAAAACAGTAAGAGGGAGAAATTTTCTTACACCTAAAACCAATGTCTGGTGAGATCATGTCTATGTATAAAAGCAAAGGAGAAAGTTACCAGCTTGGATGAGGTGGGCTTAGGCCGTAAGATTTCCATTTTGGCAAGGGCAGGCTGGAGACGCATGTGGCTTTAAGCACTGTGCATGAAGGAAATGGAGATGCCCTCAGGACACTCTGTCCCCTTGAGCTGAGGGAGCAGAAAATCAGCACAGGGCAGTGCGTCCCCTGGCCCATCAGAAGAGTTTGCAAACCCTCAGCACGCTGCATCCATCCACGTGCCACCTAGGAGGGGTCTGCATCTGGGGACGACGCTGGCAAAACAACTTTGGTTGAGTGCAATCCTCCATCTGCCAATGGGGAGGAGAAGAGGTTTAGTGTGATCAGGAGTCAGAGCAGGTATCCCAGTCAAAGCCTGCTGCAAGGCCATGTCTGCTAAGCCATGACTGCCTGGCAGTTTTCTGTGGTTTTGTGGAAAAAGAGGAGGAAAGGAGTAAATAGCATTGGCACACATGGTTTGGAGGTGCCTCACTTTGGTTCTGCTAGCACTAGCTATACTGATGCGAGAAAGCATCCTGTGTCAAATTGTG